AATTAAAACATTTTAGGTGGAAAGATAATAGTCGTTTTGAACAAAGTGTACACCTTGAGCCCGACTATTAAGGTTTCAAAAGGATGTGCATCCAATTTCCCTTTTTCTTTTGATTTTATTGCGAACAAGATTTGAAAGCGTAAAACAACTTGACGTTAGATCAAGTATTTAATTGATTATGAAAAGATTTGGATTAATTGGAAAAGAAACTCGATGTTAGATCAAACGTTTGTGTTGCATTCGATTAAATTTGATTCGGAAAATAACTTGACATTGGATCAAGTGTTTTTATTTCTTTGAAAAGATTGATTTTAGGAGGGTCAAGTTACTTAATTGAATTAATCAAGAGGAATGACACTTATTTAGCGAAATTAATAGATTAAAATTGATTAAATCAATTAATTAGGCTAATTGGAATTAATTATGAAGAATTATCGAGTAAAAATTAATTCAAATAGAATAATCGAGTTAATTAAAATTAATTAACAAAATTAACTAACTAAAATAATATTTAATTAATTAATTTTATTAAAAAAATAATTTTAAAATAAAATAAAAAGAAAATAAAAAGAAAATAAAATAGAAACCTTAATGGAGGTGCATAAAAGCAAAATAATGTGTTTCAAGAAGTGGAAAAATAAAAGGATGCGTTGGGCCTAAAAGGCATGGCCCAAAGCAAAATGAAACAGACTGAATAGGGGTGTGCACATGAAATGGAAGTGTGGTCCTTGTGCGAAAACGGGTTGGGATTAAAGACCCAAACCCTTACCAATGATCAAAGCCCTAAACAAAAAGGATCATCCCCTTGTTGGCTGAAGATTTTGATGATACAGTTCGAAATGAAGCAATATGGATGTTTCGTTGGAATAAAGCAAAATGTTACAGTTCGGAATGGTAGAAGCGGTTCTTCGAACGGACATGTCAAAGCTTGGAGCTTCGAGTGACAGTTGTGAAGATATATTTAAAAGAAGACTCGAAGTGGTAACGAGACTGTGTCAGTGAAATGAGTTCGAAGCGAAGATTGCCAAGGCATTTGAAATTCAAACGCGAGCAGGATGTTGGAATTCAAATATATATGCGCTGGAGCGTTCGAAGACGCGTGGAAGCTAGAGAGGAGCAGTGCTCTTCATGTTCCGAACGTGGCAGAATCTTATAAGCAAGACCGTTATGGTCGAAGTAGTATAAATAGAAGTCTTAGTGTTAAGATTTCGTGTGTCATATCTATTGTACAAAATTCAGTAAACATTCAAAATACCACATGGATAGGGAAACGAATGCTCGAACAATGTACGTATGATAACACCAAACATTTATAATTCAGTAAAACTCTTTATCTTTTCCAGTTTATCTTCCATTTTCATGTCAATGTCATTCAAATACCTTTACATTCAAAGTCATTTACTTATTTCTTACATTTAAACGCTTTTCTTCTATTCGAATCATTTACATTTCAGAAACTCTTTTACATTTCATGCTTTTATATTCATGCTTTTTACATTAAAGTCTTTACATTCAAAGTCATTTACTTATTTCTTGCATTTAAACGCTTTTCTTCTATTCGAATCCTTTACATTTTAGAAACTCTTTTACATTTCATGCTTTTATATTCATGCTTTTTACATTAAAGTCTTTACATTCAAAGTCATTTACTTATTTCTGCATTTAAACATTTCTTTACAATCGAATCTTTATTCATTCAATTCAGTTTCATATTTCTTTACTTGATCATGTCATTAGATTCTTTTAACATGGTAATCGAAGTGAATTGAACGTCTATAAAACATTCTAAATACAAATCATAACTATGAATATCAGTTTTGCAATTAGATTTATCCAAACGACCAATACCCCATAGGATCAATCTAGTCGATCCTGCAAGTTACCAGAGAGATTAAATAACAGTCATTAAGATTATTTGATAGTTTGGAGGACTAGAGGTTGTTTACAAGAAATCACTGTAAACACCCCCACATTTCCAACTTCATCCGCCTCTCTCTCATTGTCTATTTCTATAGACTCTCTTTCATCCAATACTTCGCCGGAGGTAGACAGCGGCCCAGAGTAGCAGCCACCGTCTCCTCCGGCCAACCAATGTCAACAACAACAAACTAAAACATGTACCCTACTCAAATCATCCTCATGTATCCAAATCCACCACCTAAATTATGAAAATCTCAACAAAGACTTTGAATCGAACAAAAGTTATGGAAACCCTAAAACCCTAAACAAAAATTAAATGGTAACTAGAGGTGTTTACATGCAAATGATGCAAGATTTATGATCAGAAAATCACGGTGAACAAAATTGTATAAAGAAAATGAAAATAAAAAATGAGGTACACCGACCTTATCAGAGCTAGTCTGGCGCCTCCACCTCCATCGACGTGAGGAAAAGTTCAGGTAAGCTTGAATTTATTCCTTCTTCTTTCTTGTTGTTTTTTGTCCTCTTTTTCTTTCGGGTTCTCTCTCCTTCTTTTCCTAGCTGGATTTTTTGTTACGGGTAATGTTTGAAGCTCAAAACTTATTAGAGCATCAATTTGAAGTTATAAAAGTCGTTTTATGGAGCTCTGAAGTGGAAGTTTGGAGGAAGTGTTTCATACTTTAAAAAATATTAATACCAATGTCTCAACATCAGAACACAATATCAAGACAGATGTTAAGACATATGTCAACTGACAAAACAAATATATCAAATTGTAAATTATGCAAAGATAAATTGCAGAATGGTAAAGAACACAATAAATTGTTAACCTAGTTCAGTGCAACTCATCTACTATGGGGGAATCCAAGCCAGGAAGGAAATTCACTATGATAGTATTAGTTCAAAGCTAAACAACCCTAGTTTACAACTTATCACCTAATTCCTACCTTGTGCAACTTCTACCTAGAAACCTTCTAGATATGAGATCTCTCTCTCACTTCCCATAATCACCTCAATGATAAAACCAATCACAAATCAGTGACAAGAACCAAAACAAAATAACACACTTATAATTACAAATACTTAGTTTTGTTTAAAAGTTTTTAACTAAGAACAATAACTTGACACACAATAAACTCGTTGCTTAAAAGCTCATGAGTGATGGACAAGTAACAATGAATAATCAGTCTGCTTACAGAGTAAGAACTATCACTAATTTGTATGACATTCACAATAAGATGTATAACCACTAGAGGAACCACATCCTGCACCCATGAATCAATCACTTCATTGTGCGAGGAGGCATCACTTATTTCAACCTAAATGGATAAGTCCACAAGATTTATGCTTGTGTTCCCTAGGTTGGCCACAGATGTAGAAAAAATAATAACAATAATAATATTATGAAATGAAAAAAGAGAGAGAGAGAGAGAGAGAGAGAGAGAGAGAGAGAGAGAGAGAGAGAGAGAGAGAGAGAGAGAGAGATTTCCTTAGACAAACTATAAAGGTAGAAGCAAATAAGAAATTGAAGAAACAATCTATAAGATTAGAAACGGTGAAAAAAGGGAAATTAAGGAAGAAGAGGAAGATGAACAGATAAAAAAATATCACTTGATTCCAAGAAAAATTAGAGGGAACTTGCAAGATGTAGAACGATTGAGCAAGAAGGTAAAAAAATTGTTCGAAGTAAGGGGTCATCCTTATATAAGAAGATGAAGGGGACAAATTTACGGCCTAGAATGAAGGATGGCTTAGAAGATGAAATCAATGGTTGAAAATCAACCTCGAGCTTGCAATGACACTTGAGAAGATTTGAGTACTCTAAACGATAATGCACCCCCTACTCCATGGTCCTAAAGCCACGTGTTTGAATAACATTACAAAATATTTCAGTTATGAGATTGACATTTAATATGCATGTTTCCTAGGCTACCTCTCCCACTCACAAGACGTTTTCACTTCCACCTTCACAAATCAAAGGCTCTTCTAGGGAGCAAAAGACAACAATAGAGAGTAACTTGAAAACCTCAATCCTTGCGCTGTCATGGAATAATAAGGACTTGAGGGTAAATTGTTTTGGACTGGCCAAAAGCTCGAAGTGGTAGGCCCAATCCAGAATTTCCCCAAAAAGGATGGAAATATGATTGGATGGCTCTCTGCGTCACATACTAGATTAGACGAGACGATTTCAACCACATGTCGTATATAAACGTCAACATGTACTGATTACAAATAATATCCAATTTTCACTCTTAAACTACATTTCAGAAACTTCACTTTAATGATAGTGCTAACCTTACAAGTCTCTATTCTACCGCATTGGAAACTCTTGTCACTGCACTGAAAGAACTCATTCCTTCATCACATATATTTCTTGTTCCACCTCGGAACACTTATTTTTCCATGTCCTACACCTTTATCTAATAATTGAGTTACTCTTTGTTGATTTTTTTATGATATTTCTTTTGTAGACTAATTTAAACAAGATCAAAGTTATGTAAGACACATTTCTAGTTTTTTTTTCCTTTTTTATAAGGTGAGTTAGTGCATAAGAGCTCAAATTTATCAAAATACAAATATAATTAAATAAAATCTAATAAAATATCAATCAGATTAAATCATCATTAAATATGATCTCTATAAATTTTGTCAAGATTAAACAACAACTAATCTACACAAAATCTTCAAAAACTTGAGTGAACCTTGCCTAAACAATGCTTAAAGTAGGAATCGATGTATAAATTTGGACCAATTTCTTATATTGCTACCATGTCTAGCACTTTTATCAACAAATTGGTTTTTTTTTTTCATGTAAAAAATCCTTGAATTATTGAGGGAATCCAATCAATAAAAGTCAACAACACAGATTTTTTTACATTGTCAGCTTTATTCTAAACAATAATGATAGCTTATTTTTTTAGATGTATAATCTTCATACACACACATATATATATATATATATATATATATATATATATATATATATATATATATATATATATATATATATATATATATATATATATATATATATATATATATATATTTCCTGTATAGACATTAAACATATATGGAGTAAGCTAAGGATGATAAATGGATGGAATAAGGTATAAATCTTCTTTCATTGTAAGAGTTACTCCAAAACTCTCACTCATGTCTAAATCTTCCTTTTTAACTCCATTGGGAAGTTTCCAATCAAAGTGATACATCAACAATGCAAGTGCAAACTCAACACTCACCAAAGCAAATGTCACCCCTGGACACATTCTTCTACCAGACCCAAATGGAATGAAGTCAAAAGTATTACCCTTATAGTCAACACTATTTTCATCAAATCTTTCAGGATAAAACCTATCTGGATCAGACCAGAAACTTGGATCTCTTGAAATAGCCCAAACATTCACTATCACTTTGCTTTTATAAGGTATGTCATATCCATTTATCACACATGCTTCTCCACATTCTCTTGGAAGCAAAAATGCACCAGGAGGGTGTAATCTCAATGTCTCTTTCACAACATTTTTTAAATATTTTAATTTCTCCATGTCTCTTTCATTGGGTATTTTTTCTTTATCAAATACTTCTCTTACCTCAGCTTGCACCTTCTCCATTATTCTTGGATTTTTTATCATCTCTGCCACTGCCCATGTTATTGTAACAGCTGATGACTCACTTCCACCACCATACATATCCTTCAAACTCAAAAGATCTAGTTAGTTAAATTGAATAATTTATATTTATATCCCTTCTATACTTTTAAACAATTTTAATTAGGTAATTAAAATTTTAAATTATTTTCATTTGGGTACCTAAATTAAGGAAATTATTTACAAATTACTTAAAATTATAGAGATCCAACTTTAAAAAAATTCTTTAAATATTTAATAAATATTTAAAAAAATTTAATTACAATTTTACTAAAAGTCAAAAACCTATTTAAAAATCTCTAAATAATTTATCCTAAAGTAATTAAACCAAAATTTAAGAACAAAAAAAAAAGACCTTTTTCACGTTCTTAAACTATTTCATAAAAAATGTTGAAATATATAATTGCTCTTTGCAAATTGCATATATATATATTATTTTATTTTTTATCTTTCTTTATTTAGTTCTTATAATAATAGTGATATAATAAAATTATAGAAATCAATTTTGAAAGGACTATAACAAAAGAATAAGGACTAAAAATAAAATAAAAAATATTTAAAATGATTAAAACTAAATAAAAATATTACATAGATTAAAACTAAAAACTAAGAAGTACTAGTATATACTTGAAGAAGCAATGAATTAAGTGTTTAAATCAGAATAAATTTGCTTACCAAGATCACAGCCTTGATACTATTATCACTTAAACATTCTTGATTCAAGAGCACATCTATAAGATCTTCTTCCTCCACTTCTTTAGGATGATCTTCATTGACCCTTGATTTCCTAACCTCCCTATTCTCATCAATAATGTTTTGCATAATCATATCAGCTTGTTTATGTAACTTTTCAAGCTTAGGCTTTAATCCAGATATGTGTTGAAGCCATGCATAAGAAGGGAACAAATCTCCCAACTCAAAACCTCCAGCAACCCTCATGGATTGCTTTACCACATTTATGAATTTCTGATTTTCCTTACACTTTTTCCCTAAGGCCACCCTTGAAGTGATTATAAATATTGTTGAAAGCACTTCTTTGGTGAAATTGATTGGTGATCCTTCTTTTGATGCAATCGATTTGATTAGATTAGTCAGCTCTTCACCTCTAACCGGTTGAAAAGATTGGACACGTTTTGAACTTAATAGCTCAAGTGTACAAATTTTTCTAAGTTGTCTCCAATATTCTCCATAAGGTGCAAAAGACATACCAAGAGAGTTATAACTCATTATCTTTGTAGCTAGGATTTCAGGCCTTGATGCAAAGACAAGATCATGAGTTTTCAGTACTTGTTTAGCATTTTCTGCTGATGAAACCACGATTGTTGAAACCTCTCCAAGCTTTAGATGCATTAAGGGTCCATAATTTGTTGATAATTCTCTTAGTTTATGATGGGGAAGTGAACCAACAAGGTTGTGTATGTTTCCTATGATAGGTAGCTTCAATGGGCCAGGTGGAAGATTTGGGGTTGATGAGTTAGATTTCTTGGTCAGTAGTATTCTGTGTGCTATAAACACAAAAGTGATTAGGGAGAAAATGGATGTAAAATATAGGATTTGATGATCCATCTTGAAAACAAAATATATGGCTTTTTTTTTGTTATGTTCAAGCTTTGTTTGCAACTCTAATATATAGAATGCAAATCTTTGGTAATTTTTATTGGAGTTTTGTTATTTGAATTTTAAGTTTTAACACCACAGACTAATTCCTCTATCTCTCATTTTATTTTAATTTCATACATTTACACGGATTATAAAAATCCATAATATATTTTAAAAAACAAAGGTTTAATTAAAAATCATGGTCCTTTAATTTGCTTTGGGTTAATAGTTATTTTATCCCATGTCATAAATGCGAGTTTTGAAAAATCCTTTGTAAAAAAAAGAATTTAAAAATCTCCTTGTCATATGAAAATTTCCCCTAATTTTTCCCCTCAAGAAGTTTACCCATCAATAATCTATTAAATTTCGTGTAATTTGCCCCCTGTTTTAAAGGATTTATACATAATTTACCCCTTGCTAAATTGGCGATTTTTTGAAAAACCCCTTTGCCAAATTGGCGATTTTAGAAAATACTCTCGCCATATTATTATCTTTTATGCTTAAATTTCTTGAGGGGGCAAAACAGGAGAATTTTCATATGTCAGGGGAATTTTTAAAACTTTTTTTTACAGGAGATTTTTCAAAACTCGTCTATATGGCAGAGGCTAAATAACTATTAACACATTTGATTTTAAGTCCTTCAAAAGATATTCACATTAGTCAATTTGATCATTTCTATTAAATTTAGTATAAAAACGTTAAGTTATACTTAGTAGCATCCATCCCAATTGACATATTTATCCATCTCCTTCTTCAATCCTTTTTCATCTTCATGTTAACATGCCAACATGTCAACTTTGCAACAAGTATGAGAATGCAGTGATGGATTGTTGGCACTAGTTTGATGAATATTTTGAACCTACACTACCAAAACCTCAGACTTAAGACACTACCTCTACCAACACTATGCTCAAGAAGGTAACAAAACTCAATACATATCATATGCACTAGCAAAAGCCTATCTTGCTCACCAGGATCAACTGCAACTACCTCAAAGATTGAAATCTCAGGCATGGTTTGCAGACTCAGGTGCATCTCACCATATCACCTCCAATTCTTCAAATTTGAAATAAAATAAATCATGTGTTGGACTAAATAAAGTAGTTTGTGGCAATGTGTTGGAACAAAATTGGTTTGTACCATATCCCTTAAGTTTAGATGATACCAAAGTATTTAAAGAATAATTTGATATACTAACATATATTCAATTTTGTACAGGAACATAGATTAAAATTCATATATAAAGTCAGTTCAGATACTACATTGACCATCCAAAGAGAAGCCTTAAGATGCGGATTTTGAAGATCACACTCTGAAGAAACAGCTTCTGAAGGAGGTCAACTTCTAAAGAAAATCAATCTTTGAAGGACCAGAACCTGAAGACTCAAACTTTGAACCTGATCAAGGATCAGATCTTGAAGATCCCAGATTTTGAGTGAAGTCAACATCTGAAGAATCATCCTATGAAGACTTAAAACCTGAAGCAAGTCAAAGCTCAAGGATCAAGAAACTCTAATATGTCACTATCAGAATTTAAAGATATTTTGTCTTCTTCTGATCATGTGAAGACTTAGCTGAAAATTACAGAAGATGGATGGAATGCAACTGATAATTCCTCTTGTGACAAAGAAGTTTCAAATGGCTCTTCAATGAAATTAACCATATCAGGAAGATCTCCGAAGTCTCTGATGATGCTTCTCTCAAAGACTCCTGGTGCATTAAGTCTTCTCCAATGACTCGTTTGTGTTCCTCTATAAAAGGAGTTGAAATCCTAAAGAAACTATAACAATGCACCTTGACAAACAAATATTCGTTACTTTGTCAAAACTATTGAACAAAGTTAAACTTAGAACTTCATAACAATTTTATATTCTTAGAAGTTCTTAAGTCTTAGAGTCTTTTTGTGTTGTATTTTGTTTACACCTCTGATTGTATATTAAGTGTAAGTCTTAAACAATTCTTGATCTATAAGACAAGTTGTTATAAGTCTCCTGCTTGCTGCTTGAGAATATGAAATCTCTTAATTGTGTGCTTGAGCATTGAAGTCTCTTACTTGTATTTTTAAGCATTTGGAAGTCTCTTGCTTGTATGCTTGAACATTTATTATCAGAAGTGATTATAGTGGAAACTTCTTGGACATGTAAGAGGACTGGACTACTCCTATTTTGTGGAAAGAATCGAGATAATTTCTTGTGTATTTCTTTTTCTCTTTTTTATCTCTAAACCTTTATTCCACTGGATACTTCAGAATCTAACTCTGATTCTAACCTTGTGTTCAGTATCTGATAAGATATTTTAAAGAGTAAAAGAAGAAAAGTTAACACAATTCAACTCTCTTTCTTAAGTTTTTCTCCCCTACACAATGGTCATAGCTTAGAAGTCTAGGCAATGTGAAATACCAAATTTTACTCCTACCTTGTGTCAAATTCCTACTTGCAGTTAGCTTCTCTTTTACATGTGCCAAAGATAAAAATGTATATTTTGAATTCCACCCTAACAAATGCTTTGTGAAATCTCATGCATCATGTCAAGTACTGTTTTTATGGATAACTAGATTAAAGTGGGTTATATTGCTTCAACAATATTAAGGTGGAATATTCAAGGAGCATCAAGCCCTTTTTTAAATGTATATTCGTATAAAAAATTCACTATTGGATTAACAATTATTATCATACAGATCATGTCTATAAAATTTAACATCAATCGAAAATCATTTGACATATCAACAAGATGCATAAAAACTAATGTCTAACAAAACTTCATCAAAATCATTAATTTTGATCATTCTTTTTAACATATAAAATCATTTTCATGTTAAATTTTATAGACAATGATCTATATGATAACAATTTTTAATCTAACGGTGGATTTTATTATACGAATATACGGTAACGAGTTATCAGAGATGTCATGTTATTAAACTTAACACATTGATATGATTTTATCCTGACTCATATATATATATATATATATATATATATATATATATATATATATATATATATATATATATATATATATATATATATATATATATATATATATATATATATATATATATATATATATAGGAGCCATATCAAATGAGAAAGCTACTTCTTATGTGAGAGTGAGAGGAATAATTATTAACCCTTAGATCTAAATCAATGTTAAGATTAAGAGTTATTTAAAAACTCATCGTGTGTCTATCTTTTGTGATCAATTCTCCTGATATTATTTACCTTTTCATCTCCTCTATATTCTCTCTTCAAACGACTCATTATCTTCCATGAATGAAAACTCAACACGACCCTAACATATATAATTTTTCTGTCAATTCGCAACCACTGCCATAGCCACCGCTCTGCACATTGAAATGAAGTTATGTCAAATTTTTCCATTGCAAAAGTTTTTTTATGGTGTCATTGAAGATCTTTGAGCTTTAAACACTAATTTTTCCCTCTTTTTCTTTAATCAATATTCAATTTTTAGAAAATCATTTAGTTATAGTTTTTTCCTATCTCTCTTTTAATTTCATAAATAGCATAAACAAGCATAATTATTAACCGGGTTTTAGAACAATCATGAATTGTTCATATACTCCACTTGAAAAGATTTGCTTAGTTTCCAGATTTTTTCATACCGAATTTTTTCGAATTTGTCAACAATGAGAACATATCATCTTTTCACTACAAGAAAAGTGCAATTTAGCTTCAAATTTGTGTCGGACCCGACTCCGACGCTATTTGCGTCGGTTTTACGTCACCAACAGCAGACGGTAATAGGATAGCTCGTTTAATTTTTATTTTTAATGTCTCATATTAGCGTCGGACTCCATCCGACGCTATAATATTATTGTAGAAATTTTTTCATTTCCCCCACAGTTAAATATAATATTTTCATTTGCCTCTAAAATATTTCCCCCACAATTAAATATAATAGTTTGGTTTGCCTCCAAAACCCTTTTCCCCACAATTAAATATAATATTATTTATTTATTAAATATATTTATTATTAGAAAATAAATTAAAATAAAAATAAAAAGTGACAAAAGAACCTTTTTCCCACTACACGAAACCTTTTCTCTGAAGCAAATCTCACATTCCTTATTCCATCTTCACTTTCAAAGACGAATTTCATCTTAACATCAACACTATTCATCTTTAATTTTCATACACGAATCTATCTCTAAAGACGAATCTAGCAACAATGAGATATTTTTTGCAATCTTCACTCAGATTAATCGATTATGATTCTCTTTTTAAATTTGGGATTAAGGTTTTTCATCTCTAGAAACCGTTCACTCAAATGTTGAAAAATTGGTGCTATCAATAATAAATGAAGCTTCGGGATCTTCAAATTGGGTATTATCAAAGGGATTCACATATTGGACTTTCGACTGTCACGGGTTCTAACACAATATTGTGTTGATTGTCGCATCTTTTCTCTTTGTTTTATATTTAGGACTTCAAGCGAGGAAGAGCTTCCTTAATCTTACCAATGGCCGCTCTTAGATCATTATCTTGTATTATCGTTCTCTTTGGCTTGTCAGCATCCTCAATCTCGCTTGGTGCTTTTCTCAGGTATTTCTTTCTGAATTTTTGTTGCATTAAGATAGTTTTTGAAAATTATTTTATGGTAGTTGTGGATGTTGATGCAAAGATATATACTTGTGTTGTGTTCTAAAATTGCTTCAGTTATTTGGTTGATTCATATTAGAGTATATAGATACCTTGAGTTTGGAAAAATAAAAGAGAGAATTAAGGGATTGGGTAATGGTGCGATAGCCTAACCTTACTGTTTTTGAGGGAGCTTCAAGCTCTTATAATATCTCGTCGCTTTAGCTTGATGCACATTTCAACTTGTCGGCGGCGGTGCAAATTATGCTTCTATATATTGGTGGTAAAGACGTCGTCGTTTGGTGATAAACTTGAGTCTTTTTAATGATGTGAATAAGACGCTATAACACGGTGAGAGAACTGACTTGG